AACTCAAATCCTCTAAAATCGCGCAATCTTTTTCGATTATTTCTATCGCCGTCTTGTTCAAACACTAGCTTATGTAAAGCCATTATTGTTTGTCGCGAACTCAACTTAAGTTTTGTATTCACCTTTGGTATTTGAGATAAATTCTCCATTGTCAATAAAAATGCTTGTTATAAACTTATGAGTTAAACTTATTCCTCCCGTTTACTTTGTACCTCGATATGTCAACACACTTCGTCACTTTTCGGCATTCGTCGTAATACATCGGCTTTCTTCGTCTTTCGTCTTCCGTTGTTATAATTCGGCTTATTTCGTCTTTCGTCGTTACTCGTCGACTTCCTTGAAGGGCGTCTATTCCATTTCAATAAAAATGGCCGTCTTCTCAACTTTTAAAAGTAAACTTTTTAATGAGGAACACGCACACAATTTTAATTCCACATTATATTTCAACGTTAACTCATAAATAAATAATTTAGCACTTTTTTTTTATCGTCTCTCTTGGTTAGCCAATTTTCTTTTCGTAAAAAACGCCACGCATTTTCACTGCAACTTTTTCTCGTCACTTTCGTTCGATATTTTATTATTCGACACTTAAACTTCACAAAAGGAATAGTTCCATTTTGGACGAGCTCCCAAAATTGTAGGGGTATTCTTTAATAACACGACATAATTAATATTAGACAGTAATTTATTGTAATCAAAAGTAAAGGTTAAACATTTTACACAGAAGCAGCTCGTGACGCTTGCTAACCAAGAACTCAAAACTCATTCATACAACAGCGCTCTCAATCGCCATAATAATTAACTATTATTTAAGAACCGCTATATTCAAATTCCTACAATTATTTAAAAATAATTTAAAAATTTGACTACAATAGTTATTTTTTACACTATAAAAATAGAAATATTTTGCATTTTATACTAAAAAAGTGGAATTTTGTATGAGATTGAAGTCCGCAAAGTTTTTAAAATAAAAATAATTAAAAAAAGAAATCTTTTTCAATTCAAATTCATTTCTAATTTCCATGTGCGTAAATTTTTAAGAAATTTTTACTTAATTATTGTTATTTAAATAACAATTTCTAAAAAAATAACACGAATTTGAAGCCAAAATAAAATAAATCGTTGCATTATTTTTTCGAATTTTTATGGTAATAAGTGAAAAAAGTCCAAAAAGACGTACTATCCAAAATAGTTTTAAAAAAATGTTTTCTGATTCTTTTCTTATTTTTATTGATAAAATTTTAGCTAATTTCACTTTTTCATTCACCTAGTAAAAAAAACAATTTTAAAAGTACTTTTTTAACTTTAAACCTTGGGAAAAATCACGTAATTTTTCTCGGTTAAGACGAAGTTGAAGTCCTCAATGTTGATCAACGAAAAAAATTTACTTAATCTATTGGAATATTATTTTTAATTTAATATTTAATTCTATAACAATTATTATTAGAAAATAAACATCAATTTTTTTTCTAAATATTTTTGTGGCAATATTGTTGCATTATATTTTATTAATTTACTAAATGAATAAATTTTTTCGTTGATAAACGTTGTGGACTTCAACGTGGTCGGTTAAGTGCAAAAAATATTTTTGATGCTGAGCATCGATGACAACTTCAGGGTCCTCATATTTTTCATAATAAATAATCTAAAAAAATCTATAAATTTTCCCTAAAGTCCTCATATAGAAAATAACGAATCAATATATATTGTCTAGTTTGCAACGATGAGAGAGGCATTGTCCGCGCGCTTTTACGTGACGAAATAATACACTGATGTGTGTATTGGTATAGAAGTATTGTATCGTCGCAGACACTATTTGCATTTTAAAACCGATTTTAAGAATTCTGCACAACGTATGTGTCCTCTCTCTCACACACACACACACATGCACAACAGTTTTTTACACGATAGCATTTCTCTTTTTTTTCGCAAACTTATTACAGTACAGTCATATATTTAGTGTCTATAACGACATTTTGTTCTTGGAAATATTTTAGCCATCACGTGTTTGGATTTTGCGAAATTAATCCGCCGCGATTCATGAGTCCGCATGATTGAAATATAAGAAGACGAAGGGAATAAGAGAAAGAGAGAGTGTGTAATTTATTAGTAAGAAGTTAGTTTGAATTTTTATTGATCATTTTTTATGAGAAAGAAACCAAAGTGAATGGTTAGGGGACATAATAAAGGGATTTACAATTCAATAAGGACAAGATTGCTAATTTTCTAGTGATTTGCTATTGTCGATTCATTGGTTATAAATGACGTTAAATAACATTTTACAGTTATATCAGCTAGTCGCATTACTATTCTTCAAGAATCTCTCTCTCGCTCCCTTCGCGTGATTGGCATGCATTTTCCAACATTGAGCTTGCATTTTCGCACTGTCACTGGTTACTCGATCGACAAAGCGAGGTTAACTTTGAGGAAAGAATACAAAATTTTTCCCGTTTGCTTTTCGTACTGAGTATGGAGAGGAACTTTTAGTTCTTGTTTTTAGAAACTTTTCTTCTCTCTTAAAGTTTACTTGAAAAAGATTTTTACTTTTCTTGGGGAAATAGTTTCGAATATACTTTTTCTAAAACGTATACAACAGACGAAAAATTCAACTACCTTATTGTATAGTATTCAGAAGAAAGTAGTTAATTACTTTTTTAATTAATTTAACCCTGTTTGTGTGACCGAGTGATAAAGTCATTATTTCATATTTTAATTTACTTTAATTTTAATTTTATTTATTGAAATAAATCCAACAGTCACATAGACTACTTACAGGATCATAAATTATAAGTTTTCGAAAATGGCAGAAAATAATTAGTAACTAAATATTATAAGAATATTGTTACTGGAACTTCTTCAAAATTATTTCCATCGTTTTAATTCAATTATTGTTTTCCAGAATTTTTAACTAAAATTCTTCTTTAAATCAATTATCTTTAATTAATTTTTACAAAATTTTTTAAATTTTTATTAAATTTTATTAAATTTATTTATTTATTTCATTAAATTTTTTTTTAAATTGTTTAAAAAGTTCTATGAGAATTTTAAAACCCATTTGTTTGCAATTCAATTTCAATTATTTTGCAACTTTTCAATTGAATATATATTAGAAAATAAAAACTTCAAAAAATTTTTAAAAAAATTCAATTAAAGTTTTTCAAAAAAATTAATTCCACAGAATTCTTAATTAAAAGTATGAAAAATTCAGATTTACAAAGATTTTCATATGAAACCTTTTCAAAATTCAATTATTTCTAAAAATCCAAACTATTATGCTTTTAATATTCAACTATTATCTAAAATTTTAACTGAAATTAATATTTAAATCAATTTTTATTAGAAAATTCTACAAAAATACAATTATTTAAACACAAAAATAAATAATTTATTGAATGTTTCTTAAAATTGAATTCTTATAAAGAATTCTATCAAAATTTCTTAAAATAATTAAATTCTTTCAAAGATTTTTAATAAAATTTTTAATAATAATTGTATTTTTCGGGAAATTCATTTAAAATTGTATTAAAAATCATTGAAATTCTGCGATAATTTTTATTATTTATGAAAATAATTAAATTTTTGTTAAGAATTTTATAAAAAAAATTTTTAAATAATTGATATTGTTCGAAAAATTTTATGAAAATTGTATTTTAAATCATTGAATTCCTATGGAAATTTTATAATTTAATAAAAATAATTGAATTTCTGCGAAGAATTGTATTAAAATTATATTCAAAATAATTGAATTTATTTATAAAGTATTTTATTATTTTTGGAAATAATTGAATTGACAAAAAGAATTTTATTATTTATAAGAATAATTGAAGTGTAACACATTTTACTACAAATTTAATTAAAATTTAATTGAAAATAAATAAGTAATTCAATTCATATATAGATTTTTATTAAAATTTTTTGAAATAATTGAATTCTTTCAAGAAATTTTATTAAAATTGCATTGAAAATATTTGAATTCCCGCGAAGAATTTTTAAAAAAATTTTTAATATTTATAAAAATAATTATAATTTTTAAAGATAATTGAAGATAATTGAAATAATTGGAATTTTGAAGAGAATTTTTTAAAACTTTTTGAAATAATTGAATTCTTTCAAGAAATTTTATTAAATTTGCATTGAAAATATTTAAATTCCCGCGAAGAATTTTTAAAATAATTTTCAATATTTATGAAAATAATTATAATTTTTAAACTTAATTGAAAATAATTGAAATTTTGAAGAGAATTTTAAAAAAATTTTTGAACATAATTATTGAATTTCTGCGAAGAATTTTGATTACTATTAAAAATAATTGAATTTCTGCAATTATTTTGTAACTTCTCCAAAATTCAATTTTTTAAAAAATATTTTTAATAAAAAAAATTCAGAATTTTCCTATGAATTCTGAAAATTTAATTTTTTCCAGTTCTTTTAATAAAAATCCCTGACTTTTCCTTGAATTCTCTTATTTTCCTGGCCCTGTTCAAACTCTCGAAATTTAATTATTTTTTAAAGTTACAACTATAACCCTTTCCAAATTTAATTAGCTTCTTCATTTTTTAACTAAACTACTTTTCTAAATCAATTATTTTTAATAATTTTCCAAAATGTTGAATATAATTAATTTTTTAAAAATTATAATAAAGAAATTTTTTAAATTAATTTTTTAAAAATATTTAAAAATTAAAAATCATTTATAAAAATATGCAAAATAAAAATTTTTTGTAGTTTAAAATACAAATTCTTCAAATTTTGATTTTCAAAAGAAGTCGATAAACTTTATTTTATTCTGATTTCCAGAAAAGATTTTTTGCTCTTCCCCATATTCCGATAATAATTTAAATTCCAGGTTTTTGAAAAATTCAATTATATTCTAAATATTTTTATTTTTTATACATCAGAAGAGAAATTTTAATTTAAGATTATTTTTCTTAGATTCTTGGACAAAAATTACAAAAATTATTCAACAAAAATGAAAAATATTAATAATGAAAAAACCTTACCTTAAATTTGTTGTTGATGTTGTCGTAGAAGTAGTAGAAGCAGTAGTAGTCCTAGTAGCAGTAGTACTAGCAGTAGTAATAGAAGAAGTAGTAGAAGAAGTAGAAGAAGAAGCTTTATAATCACTAGCTGAGATGATAGAAGATACTTCCTTTCGTAGCACTTGAAATTGTTCAAAAAATTTCAAACTGTCAATCTGTTATGTCACAATACTCGTACTTTCATACACACTTTTTTCGTAGAATAGATTCTTCTGAATAATAATTATAAATATATCTGTCTGCAGGTACTTGAATGTCCTGGTTTTGTAGTTACAATGTTTCAAAAAAGATTGATGAGAGTTGGGAATCGTAGTACTCGCTTTTATATATATCTATATATATATATTTATTATAATTCCGTTTATATCCAACGTTAGAGGTAATGAGTACGACGATTTTCCCAGTGCAGGTATTTTTTTTCTTCTTTATTTCTTTTTTTTAATCAGGTTGTTTACGAGTGCGCGTGAGAAAAAAAGGTACGCTCCTCGAAAGGTATAATAATAATAATAATCTTAGCGTGAGTGTAACACGAGGATCGTGCTTTGTGTATCTAGGTGCTGGTGGTTGTGTCTTTATAGTACCTAAATATATGTGTTTATATTTATTTATATATATAAGTAATATATATATATTTTTTAAATATACATTTATAGTGATTTTTAGCGCAATTCAGTGTGTACTGTTTTATGCTCCTGAAGTTTCTTTCTTTCTTTCTCTCTCTTTCTCTCTGTAATTATCCTCTTTGATTCCTCTAAATAATGTTTTGTTTTTTTCTTTTCTACTTGCGTTGGGATATCTAGGCACTATTGCGCTGCGGAAGGTAAATTTAAAGGTACTTGTAGGTACGAGGTATTTTTTCGAAGGTAGAGTTGTAATATGTGTGTGACGTATGTGTTTTTTTTATGGTAACAACGTCACTGATCGTTTCTTTAGAGGATTAAAAAGATTTGTATTTTTTTGTTTTGTTTAGATTTTCACTTTCTCCTCTTGGTTAATCCTTTAAATAGGATGTAGGTCCTCATCGATGGGGACTAGTACGGAAGGTCAGAAGTCGCTATCACCTCCTCGCGTTTCCCCGCTTAACCACATCGTCCTCACTCGTTGAGCCGTCCTTCTTCAATTCGGATGCAATTTTTAACACCATCTGCAAACAGAAATTACACTTTCGTCACATCAATTTCATTAAATTATTTCTTTTGTTTTATGATTAAAATTCTTTTTTTTTAATGTTTTAAATATTCAACTTCAAAAATATTCTACAAATTTGTTTTGAAAATAATTGAATGGTTAAAAAGTAGTAAAAAGTATTAAATAGTCGGTTTTAGTAAATGAGTGTGAAGCCTGTTTGTTATCATACTTTCCTCACTAATTTTCACCAATTAAACATCCGTATCTAAATTCCGTTAAACGAAACCTTTATCCCTGTGTATTAAACAGATTTTCTCTACCACTATATCAAAATATTCTAATTTACGACCTATAAGACTAAGTCGCAAACTATATAATCTCGTCTTTCTCGCAATTAGCGGAGATTATTTATTAGCACATAAGATCATTTCAAATAGCAAAGGAGAGTAGATCTGCGCGCGTGAATATGCCGACCACGTCGAATCCATTTCACTTTGTGCTTGCTTATTTCTGTCATTTACCGACAAATGCAGCAGCAGCCGCAGCAGCTTTATTTCGCCGGAAGTCTGCCCGGGATCGTCATATAGCTTTATGTACACCGGAAGCGACACACATTGAGGACAAAAATTGCTACAAAATTGTTCCAATTTAAAGCGTAATGAACGAAAAAAATTACTTTCTGCTCCATAGACGAAAACATGGACCCAAAAAACAAAGTGTCAAAGTTCTGTCAAATATTTCCCAACTTTTGGGCCATTAATGCGCCAATGATTTTTTTCCCATTGCTTTCTTCTATGTTCTAACACAAAAAAACACAAAAAAGTGGGAAAAACAAACAGCTCCTGCGCAACTGTACAAAAAGACAATGAGATATCATCAAAAAGGTAGATGTAACAGGTCCAAAATCGATATAGAGATTACAATATAGAAAAATGCAGATACACGAAAAAAATCGACATTCGAGATTGAATTCCTATTTATAGAAGATTATTCATAATCAATAACATTTGCAACGTGAATGTAATAATTGCCGCATGGAACAACGGTCATTTGCTTCTCTTATCTCGGACTTTATGATTTTTTTATCAATTCACGAATGGTTATAATCAAGCGCATTTTTTTTTTTTTTTTTTTTTGTTCACTTGACCGGTTTCACGCGCGCATATCTGCGTAATTTTTCGTATATAGATCTATATGCGTATTTATGAATGCAAATAAGTGAATAATTATTATTATGAATACAAATACAAATCTCTTGAGGAGAAACTAATCAAGCAGTATAAGTATAGTGTGTTTAACAAGGAATAAACATGTTAATGCAAAATTTTTTTTTGCAAATGCATACCGAACGAAAATCTGTCTCACGTGTAAATACTTCCACATGAAGTAATACGTAATAAAATAAACATCTCTTTACTTTTGGTTGGTATGCAACAAACAATATATCCATTACAGAGGTTCTATTGTCAGTTTCTCACACATTTGTCCTCCCCTTTTTCTTCTTCTTTTTTTTCGAAAGAATATAAGTAAAGGACGAGGAGAAAATTTCAAAGAAACAGAGCAGCTATTATCAAAAAGACAGGTTTGGGTATGAAAAGAAATTTTATCACTATTTCTACCGGGATGAACAATTACAATAAAGGGAATGTCAATAATAAAGAAACGAAACGTATCCTTATGTCTGACAAATCTTTTTTTTTTTTTTTTTGAAAGTCAATTTTTCTTATTCGAAGTCAGGGCTCGAACCAGTGAGAGTATTTCAAAATACTGACTTTACGGACCAAAAATGAAAAATTACGAACCATTTACGGACAAAGACAAAAATATAACCAATTTGAGTAAAATAAGAGAACATTTTACTTAAGAGTATAAATTAAATTTTTCATAACTATAAAACATGAAGATATCGATAACACCGAGTCTTCGACTCGAAGTTATCGATTTCTTCATGTTTTATAATAATTAAAGATGACGAAGTTATAAAGTCATTTACAATTCAATTATTTATGAAAATAATTGAATGATTACGAATATATTTATAAAAAAATTTGTAAATAATGAATTTCCTGTGAAATTTTTAGTATTTTTTGAAAATAATTAAAAGTTTGTGTAGAATTAAAAAAAAAAATTTTTTAAATAATCGAATTCTTTTGACCGATTTTAATTTAAGAATAGTTGCATTTTTTGAGGAAATCAATTAAAATTGTATCAAAAGTAATTGAAATTCTGCAATGAATTTTCTTATTTATGAAAATAATTGAATCCTCGTAAAAATTTTATTATTTATGAAATTAATTGAATGATGTCGAAGAAATTTATAAAAAAAATTTGTAAATAATAAAATTCCTGTGAAAATTTTATTATTTTTTAAAAATAATTAAAAGTTTGTGTACAATTTTATTAATTTTTTGTAAATAATTGAATTCTTTTGGAAAATTTTATGAAAATATATAGTAGATATAAAAAATAATTGAATTTCGCAAAAGAATTTAATTATTTCTAAGGATAATTTTGAAATTTTTTTTTCTCTTGAAGAGAATCCTCAAAAAGTATTAGTATAGTAATAGAAGTAAAATTATAATTATTAATATTAATCCGGGTTGACACAAAAATAAAAATTTGTTTTTCCCTGACCTGCGACAACCCTGTTAATAATAGAAATATTTAATTACCCAAAAATTAGCGAACAATTGCGACAAAGATTAAAACGAGAAGCATAAAACAGAAGCAAAAACAGCATATACATACATGAAATAAAAGGACGTGAATGAAACTAATTCTTGCGAAAGCCCTCGATTCTCATACTCGACGGCCCTGATGAGAGTAATAGAACCTATACATAGAGCGCATGACCGACGTGTTCATAGACGATTTATGTGTGTTGGTGTCTATAGAGAGGGTGCCTGCAGGGTTCTACGGTATTTTTAATTCCACCTTGTCTTTCCCTCTCTGCAATCCCTCCCCCCTCGTTACTCCCCTCAACATCCCCCGTGCATACATGACTTCCCATGGGTAATGCGTGTCACGAAGGGCACAATCCATATACCCAGAGACTTTATATACGTACAGACTTTCAAGCAAAACGTGCCTTAGTGAGTGTACAATGTACATCCTATGCAATTACGTGTGCACTCCACACACAAATACACGCAAGCACATGTATACAAACTTAAAGGTGCATTTGTATATGTATATAACTATATACAAAAGGGAACCGAGTTCCATGTTACAGGGACTGGACCTACGTCAACATTGCCCTCTTTCTGGGCCTTTGAAATCGTTAAAACAGTAAACACTGCACTGCATTTTCTCAATGGGCTCATTTTTCGGGTTATGAATTTTAACTTTAATATTCATTACAATATAATTATACTGTTAATAATAATAATAACAATTAAATATTAGTATTAATTAAATAAGATTTTTTTGTGGTTCTTTAGGATCAGTAATTTGGAAAAGAAACTAAATTTTTTGTTCTTTAGACGTTAATAAAAATAATAATAATGATAATAATAATAAAAATAACAGACTTCGCACTCAATAATACATTTTTAATGAATAATTAAATAAATAAATAATTAATTTTAAAAAAAGTAAAAAAGTATCTGTCGAAAAATTAAAATTGACGACCAAAAAAACTTGATTTAGAAACTCCACAAAACTGACAAAAATTCCATTCTATATTTTATTTTCCTGATTTTTTCCTAAATTCATCAAAAATATTTACTTCTTTCTTATCCTGCTAATAAATTGAAAGCCTGCAACAAATTTTATTAGTCATACAAGAAATCATACTAATTTTATACAAATTCTAATTTAAATAATTGAATTCCTAAGAAATTATATTATTCATGAAAGTAATTGAATTTTTACGAACATTTTTAAAACAAATATTTTGAAATAATTGAATTTCCAAGAAAAAATTTATTACTTTTAAAAATAATTAAATTCTTGTGATGAATATTGTTATTCATAAAAATAATTGAATTTTGCAAAGAATTTTATTATAATGCCTCAAAATAATTGAATTTTCGGGAATAATTTCAAAGAATTATTTTTGTAAATAATTAAATTCTTGGGAAGAATTTTATTCAAAATTGTATTTAAAATAATTGTTTTCGTGCAAAAATTTTATTAAAATATTTGAAAATTTTAATTGAATTCCTATGAAGAATTCTAATATTTTTGTAAATAATTGAATTCCTCCAAAGAATTTTGAGAAAACATTTCTAATTAATTGATTTTTTCAAGGATTTGAAATTAAAATTTTTAAGAATAATTACATTTTTCGAGCAATTCGTTAAAAACCGAATTAAAAATAATTGAAACCGTGCCATGAGTTTTATTATGTAATTATAAAAAAAATTGAATTACTAAAAAGAATTTTATTATTTATGAAAATAATTGAATTCTTGCAACGAATTTTATTATTTATGAAAATAATTGAATTATTGAGAAAAATTTTATTAAAATATTTTAAAAGAATTGAATATTGATCAAAAATTCCATTTTGAAAAATAATTGAATTCTTCATAAGAATTTTATAAACATTGCTTTAAATAATTAATTTTTTCGAAATATAATAAATTTTATTAGGTACAATTTTCAAAAATAATTGAATTGTGTAAAATTTTATTTGTGAAAATAATTGAATTTTTCGATTAATTAATTGAAATTAGTATTAAAAATAATTGAAATTCTTCGATAAGTTTTATTATTTATGAAAATAATTGAATTCTTGCTTAGAATTTTATCAAATTTTTTTTAAGTAATTGAATTTTCGCGAAAAGTCTTATTATTAGTGAAAGTAATTGAATTATTGGGAAGAAATGTATAAAAATATTGTTAAATAATTGACTTTTTTGAAATTTTTTTGAAAATTCTATTCTAAATTAATTGAACACATGTGGAACTTTTATTATTTACTAAAATAATTGAATTTTAAATAAATTTTATCAATTTTTTTAAAAATAATTGAATTTTTGATACATTATATCAATTTTTTTAAAAATAATT